TGCAAGACGGGGTGAGCTCCTGTCTCTAGTTCCAGCTCCTGCCAACCTAGCAGTTCGAAAGCAAGAAATTGCAAGTAGATAAATAGGTACCACTTCGGTGGGAAGGTAACAGCGTTCCGTGCGCCTTGGTGTTTAGTCATACCGGCCACATGAACACGGAAACGTCTTCGGACAGCGCTGGCTCTTCGGCTTTGAAACGGAGATGAGCACCGCAACCCTAGAGTCGGATTCGACTGGCTTTCGAGCAAGGGAACCTTTACCTTTTAAGTTTAAAAATATTTGATTATTCATATTCATTTTTCTTTTTTTCTTTTTTCTACAGCCTTTCTTTTCTTGGTCCAGTATTCACTTATTGGTTATCTTATTGTAATATGTATTATTGTTACATGTACCTCAATACTGTTTGACCTCTGAAGAAGGCCCCAATAGGGCAGAAAAGCGTCAGGTCATGTGTTTTGGCCCTTGTGTTTAGGCTTTTTTAAAGAGGCTTTCATTGGGCCCTGATATGTTTTGAACTGTCTTTCTAATAAATACATGTATTTTTGTATATTATAAGTTTCAACTAGATTTTTTAATATTGGCCCTTTATCAGACTTGTGGCAGTTTTTGGGTCAAGTTTGTTTCCCACTCCCTGTGTCTTACTGCCTATGCAAAATAAGCCTATGCTTATTCTGAAGGAAAAGTTACCCCCACTCCCTGGTGCATAATTAAAAATCAGCAATGTGGTCCTGGACAGAAGAAAGATGCAAAGACTCACACAGCTGAGCACTGAAATATGAAAGAACACAGCCATGGGGCAAGGACTTCTCTTGATAAAATGTTGTGCTTGTAAGTTCTAATCAGATAAATTAGTATTGATAGTAAATAGTATTAATATCTTCATTAAATACTAAATGCTATTCATACTCATTAATATACTAGTACTCATTAATATTGATTAGTATTAATACAATTAGTGCCTTTTTTGCATTTTGATCATTTATGTCCCTCATGGTTCAATGGATTTCTACTGATATCAGATTCAGCCCTCATGACCAATATGTTCCACACCCCTGGCTTATGCTTCCTGCGGCCCAGTCCAGAGACTACCGAAATCATTTCATGACCAATATGTTCCACACCCCTGGCTGGCCCAGTCCAGAGACTACCGAAATCATGACCTTCCCACAGGAAAAACACTTGTGGTCTCCACGACTTCCTCCCACCTCTGGCCCCCTTTTTTATCTCACCTGGCTCAATATCAAGTGAATAGCTGTCTATTTCCATATTAAGGCGCTGAGCTGCAGCGTCGCAAAAGTCCTCTAATACACAGTGGATGGCCTCTGTGATGTTGTACGGTACGGACTTGGCAAACTTCATTTTGCTGTTGACAATCACGCTTCCATTGCGGAAGTTCAATATTTCCAATTGCTTGAATCCTGTAAGGTTGGACTGAAGGTAGGGAAGCAGCTGCAAATAAGGAGAGGAGAGAGAGAGAGAGATGCAGTTTTACTTCAAGTCCCCTGTCCAGGCCTACATTCATTCGATTTAAATTCAAATTTCATTTTCAAGACCATAAATCAACCACCCAGTTTCTCTGACTTTATTAGTAGGCCTTACATCTGCTACTAGTTTAAGTTTCTTGGTTAGTCCTCAGCACTTTCTCCATTTAGATCTTTCTCAATAATCTATTAAGACAGATGGAGTGCAGTTTTCCTGCTAATTAAATTCACACACCACAATCCAGTTAAAAAGAAATCAATGGGACTTAAGCAAACCTCAACGCGGAGTGCAGCTGGAGGGTGCAATCCAGTCATATGGCCCTTGAGGTTCAAGGTGACTTTGCTTGTGTTGATAATGGGAGGGGTAACAAGAGATCCCCCATGTAGATCTATCTGTCCCAGCCTACCAGGAATATATCTGAGCCTCTGTTCGACAGTTATCCTTTAATATGGTTTTTCTGTTCTTCCAGAACAAAGAAAAATCACAATTCAATCTAGCATGATTTAAATCCACTTGTTTTCAGAAGTTCTTGTCAGTTTACATTATGGTATAATTTAACTGGCATGCTGTTGCACAGATCAACAGTCCTGCTATATCCAGTGAGAAATCTGTGTATATTATCTTGCTGTTTGAGAATTTATGACGCTTTCCCCTAGGGCTCGTTGTAAATCCAGTATAAGAATTCAGTGCTTAGATATCATCAGTGATATTCTATACTTAAAAGACAGAGGAAATGATAATCATGCTACATTAGCTGTATAATTTTCATGGACTTCAATGACTTCTTCTTTGATGGTGGACAGTCTATCTTTCTTACGGGCTCCAGCCAGCACCACCACCACCACCACGGAATAAGCAAAAGTGGAGGATCTTTTCCTCCCTTCCCCTCACTATGGCAGAACCATAGTGGAAAGAATGAATGTGCAAGAGGAAGGCAGGGAGTATCCAAAGAGAGCAAGCATGGCTTCCACTGAAGCACTCCAACTGCCACTGCTTACTACTGAAACTGTGGTGGATGCTTCTCCAGTCTCCTCAGCCTTCTGAGGCATAACTGACAGGGTGAGAAGAACAACAGTCAATGCTGGCTCTTCTGGGCCACGTGAGAGCCAAATACCATCCTCTGTGGAGGTAGGAAAGTGGCAATGGGTGTCTGCTCATCTTTGTCACATGGACTTTTGTGTATCCTACAGGAGAGGATGATCTTTTGTGCTGTAGGCCTAGTATGATCAAGAGACATACAGCAAACTGGCATTTATTTATTTTTTAAAAAACTACTGTAGAAAACCTGCCCAAGTCTGGTAGATCTATGCCAGCTGGGGGCACTTGTGTACCCATCCTCAGGCCTCCGACTGAGAGGGAAGGAGGTTTCCATCATCCTGGTTCTTCACCTCTCTCCAGCACTTGCTCCTCTCAACATCAAGAGCCAGTGTGGCCTCCCTGTCCTATTTCCCTCTGCCTCGTGAAGGGCCTGGCTCATCCTGGGGCCAGCTGCCTGGAGGCTCCATCTCCTGGAATTCCCATGGGGGCTGAGCAATTCCTGTGGGAAGCTGCTGCTGCCCTCACATCACAGTTGTGACTCATCGCCATGCTTCTCAACCTGTAGCTCAAGGCTGCATCCCATCTGCTCATCAGGCAGTGGGCTGTTAAAGTGCTAGTCTGTATTAAGTAGTGGAACAGAATCCTTTGCCTAAAGGTGCCACATGTACTGCTGGCTTTGGCTCATGGACACTGAGGGTGGGTCCGTGGCTACCCTCACAGTCGAGGAGCCTGGGGGTTGCTCAGGGCCCCATTACTAAGACATAGTCTAGGCTTAATACCCTGGGCTTAAAATTTGCACAAGGATCTCTTCTGTGTGATATCCACACATATTGCATTTGTGACACTGAGCTGATGCACCAGTCAGTCTGTGCAATTTAATCTTAAAAATGTACTTGCTGATGTACCAGATCTCAGCTTCAAATGGCAAGATTCTCCACCACCAAGGGTTTCGTATCTCATTTACATTCTCAATAATTTATTACTGCATGTGTTTCCACAACAGAAGACTGGGCTATACTCTTTTGCTTATGCTATTTCATCAGCTATTGCTTGCCTAGCTACTTTGGCTAAGACTGCAGTCCAGCATGCATCTCGACTGTCAGCCCTTCTGAACACAGCAGGACTTGCGATTAAATAGATCTCATGCATACAACTGCATCACATAACAGCAAAGTGCCAGTTATCTCCCCAAAGTGCTTTTTGAAACCAGACTTTGTTTTTAACTTGAACAGCAATAATAGCAAGAAATTAGAGCATGAAAAAGTGTCGTCTTAAACATCTGCCCATGAATACTGGTGTATAAAGAAATTGCAGTCACCTACCAGCTGCATGAACTGCTGTTCAAGTGCTTTGTATTCTGCTGAACTTCGATTGAAGAGGTCATCAGTAAAATGCATGTTGGTTACCCTCAAGCTAAAGAACACCACTAGCTCCTTGCCTTTGGCTGGAGTTGTCACGGAGATTGGAGTTACATACTCCTGTGGAGGAGGTGGAGTTGTTTCTGCAGGTGGGGTTGCTGGCAATACATAAGAGCCGCTGCCATCCTCCATTTCCCCAGTCGTTCCTGGGATCATCATGTCAATAATACCTGAGTCAGTGGCAATACCCTGCACTCCCCAGTCAAATCCAGTTGGGATAGCTGTTACTTCCCATGAAGAGGTTGTCGCTTCAAAAGACTCATCAATAACAATCGAGGGGCCACCAGCAGTTGCCTCTGGCAATAACACAATCTGGTCTGTGGGCACCAAAATTTCTTCTTCAGGAAGAGAGGTAGGAAGACTAAGAGAATCAATGAAATATGGCATGGTACTTAATGTGGCTGAAATGTCATCACCTGAAGATTCCAACTCCACGGTAATCCTTATATCTGAAAAGGAAACAGAGTTAATGCTGAACAATAACATACAAATGTATATGTAACAAGGCTTGTTCATATGTTCACAAAAGTTTGGATTCTTCCCTTAGCCTTTCAGATAACGAGGCGTGTTGATCAGGCCACTGATCTGCTTAACACTAAATTGCTTATTTTGAGGGGCATCAGTCACAAAGCTATTGACCATCTCCCTCCCCCAAATCCTCCAGTCCAGCATAAAATATACAAACTGAAAGAATGCAAAAATTGATAGAGGGATGCTAATGACTGCTAATGAGAATGAAAAAAAAATAGTAGGCAGAAGGTTTGCTATTGTGAAATGCAGAGGCAAAACCACTTTAGCACTGTTTGCTAATAATTTGGATTTAAATGATTTCGTCTAGTTCTTAGCCATTATGATAGCTACTGTGTGATTATACTAACAGTAATATTAACTCTGCAAGATTACTTTGGCAATCTGAGTAATATTTTGGACCATTAGCCTCCTTGCAACTTTATCACTTTGTTTTGTCGAAATGAGCAAAGAGATGTTATTATGTGCAGAAAGATGAATCCCTAGTCCTAATGAATCTGAAATCCACTGATCTGCAAGCATATATAAAAAGAAAAGTAAATAAAAGGGAATCAGGAACACAGGATAAAGGAAAAGGGGTGGTGACAGAATTATGACATTTATTGCTCAGATTGTTCATTTAATTACAATTACCTTCTAATACGCAATCACGATTGATGAACAGCAGCACTTTTTAGAGGTGTGCAATTAGTGAAAATTGGATTACAGCAAGTTGCCTTTGAACTTAATATTGCAAAGTTAAAACTGAATTTCTCCCCGTGTTTTCCATACAAATGTCTATTTACTTAATTTTTTATACTTACCAATTCAGTATTGGTTTAATAATTTGCCAATATTTTGGCTTGAAATTTGCAGACTACAAGGTAGAGAGAAGAAGTGACAAACTCGGCCCTCATTTGCCATATGTTTGTTGACTGTCTGTTTCATGTCACTGCCTTGTTTCATTCCAGCTGGGAATTGCGGGGGAGTGTGTAAGGGCGTGCATGGAACTGCTTTACTGAGAGTTGTGCTGGCTTGTAACTGCATCCATGTAGGGCCTCCCCATTGTGGGAAGTATGTGTGCTTGACCTTGAGTACCAGACATGGCTAGATAGTGTAACTGTAGGCTTGCAGGTGCTGGGAGAGGGTTAATGAAGCACAGTAGTTTTGACGGGCTGGATATATGGGTGTGATTGGCCTGGTCATTGGGGGGGGGATTGTTTGAATTATGTATAATACGAGATCTGGTGCCAAGGGAGACAGTTCTGACACAGTCTATGCTTGAAATCTCTTTATCTCTCAATAAACAAATCAATGCCAAGAGAGAATTATTGGGAGTGAGTTTCTTCAGGACTTGACAAGAAGAAGAGATTGGATTTATACCCTGGCCTTCACTCAGAGTCTCAGAGCGGCTTACAAACTCCTTTCTCTTCCCCTCCCCACAACAGACACACTGTGAGGTAGGAGGGGCTGAGAGAGCTCTTGAAAGAAAAGCTCAAGAAAAGCTCTGACAGAACTATGGCTTGCCCGAGGTCATCCAGCAGCTGCAAGTGGACGAGTGAGGAATCAAATCCCATTCTCCCAGATTAGAGTCCGTGCACTTAACCACTACACCAAACTGTGTGTTATTATTATTATTTTTGTTAGACAACTGGGTCGGATCCAATGTACTGCAAGGAGACCTCTGCTCACAGAACTCTGTAAACTACTGTGCTCCATGAGACAGGTACCTGCCTATTCTCTTCAGGAATAAGGCTGGGTGCAATATGGAAGTCTGCAGTGGGAGGGGGAATAGGCAAAAATTACCTCCCCTTCCACTCAGCTGGCTGCCTAGAAGGTTTGCTCAGCTGAATACATCATGAGCCTGCTGTCTTATCAATGCTTATGCGATTAAACTGAGGCGCTGGAACCATGCCCTGTAACAACAGAGAATAGGAATGTTCCTTAGCTACTGTGAATGTTTCCTTAATGGAGGATAGTTGCTGACTGATGGCTCTGTTGAAGCAGCTGCTAGAGCTTGGTTGAGGTAACCAACTAGAGGAAAGGGGAGAGAGTGTTTTGTCTGAGCAGCAGTCCTTGAGTTTGACAGAGGCCAAGAGAGAAGCAAATTGATGCTACTATAACAAAGTTTGAGTCCACTGGCACTTTTAAGACCAACAAAGTTTTATTCACGGTATACGTTTTCGTGTGTAAGCACACTTAATCAGATACAGTGGAAAGAACCTCCTTGACCATTATTTATAGGGGCAGGCTGGGGCTTCTTGTCAGGGAGGACCACTTAGAGTCAAATTGGCCCTGGTTCTGACTTGGTGGAACTCTCTGCAGGTTAACATCAGGGTCCTGTGGGATTTGCTACAATTCTGCAGTGCCTGCAAAGCAGACATTGTTCTGCCAAGCATACAGTTGAGGACAGCAACCATTTTTAACACCAGTTTTTAACAGCAATGGTTTCTTAACTGTTTAATAGTTCTTAAGACCCATTAGATTCACAATCTGCTTCCACCCCTCTTCCCCCATTGCTAATGTAAATTGGGGGAAGGGGCAGAATTGTATGATGGTGCCATACTGTTATTGGGTTTTAGAATTGTATTTTAAATTATTTAATAGATTTTATGTGTTTTTATATGAATTTGATGTGAACCACCCTGAGCCCGCTTGCAGGGACGGCAGTATTCAAGCCTAATATAATAAATAAATAACTACTGGGTGATTATGGTTGAGATTGGATGTAAGAAAGATCTGTGAATGGCAGTAAATTAGCATACAAATACAAGAGTGAACAAACAGATGTGGGAATGGCACCTACAAGACAAATAAAGTTCAATTCTGGGTACAAGTGAGAACTGATAGTATGTGCACTCCTTCAGATTCATAGAAACAGATTTCTCCAAATGTTGCATATAGGTGGGGGAGTAGCTGATATGAAGAACTAATCAGAGTTAAGGTGCCTACATAACTGAGTAATAAATACAGCTAAAATTGGAATAACACATTAGGTAAGATATGTAAATAGCAGTAAGTTGGTACACAGATAATAAAGAAGTAAACCACAGATGTGATAACTAAGTTTGAGTCCAGTGACACCTTTAAGACCAAAAAAAATTGATTTCTGAGTATAAGTGAGAACTGAGTGACTTAACATGTATAGTGAGATAAGAAGCCAATATCTCTGTTAAGTCCTGGGGTTCCATTGTTCTGAGTGTTGTAATAACTTGTAATTCAGCAGTTTTCCTTTCCCATCTGTTTCTGAAGTTCCTTTGCAATAAAACAGCCACTTTGAGGTTCCCCACTGAGTGTCCTGGAGGCTGAAGTGTTCTCCTACAGGTTTCTCGGTCTTGCGATTCTTGATGTTAGATTTCTGTCCATTTATCCTTTGGCGTAGGGTTTGACCTGTTTGTCCTATGTAGAGAACTGAAGGGCATTGGTAGCATTTAATGGCATCCATAATGTTGGAAGATGAGCAAGTGAATGAGCCTGAGATGGTGTAGTTGATGTTGTTAAGTCCAGTGATTGAGTTGTCTGGGTGTATGTGGCAGCAAAGTTGGCATCTGGGATTATTGCAATAAAGTTAGCTTTAAATTAGCTATAGGTTAGCTTTCGCACCTTGTGCAGGCAGGCAGGGCTCTGACCTAACATAGTAGATCTGCTTTTCTGTAGGAGTGCCTCTTTGACTCCATTTGTACTTATGTATTTGTAAATTTAGCAAACATTACAAAACCCCCCACAAGACTCCATTTCTATGTCCTCTAAAGGGAAACAACCAAGATAATCACAGCCCATCAAACTTTTGCCACTCAGAGAAATGGTATGTTTATAACCCTGGTGTTGGCATGCCAACCTCCAGGTGGGGCCTGGAGATCCCCCAGAATTACAATTGTTCACTACACTACACAGATCAGTTCATTTGGAAAAAATGGCTGCTTTGGATGATGGAGTATATGGAAGGGGTATGCATTATGAGATTCCTGAGCTAAAAATTTACATGAAAATTGCTATTTTGGGTTAACACTGATTTTCCAGAATGATAACACAAATCTGGGATTTTTAGGCATTATGTTGTTTTTTGTGTTTGGGTGCTTACCATCTTTGATCCTCTGAATTTCTCAGGCAGTGGTCTTTCTCCCTTCCAATCAGATCTTTGCAAGGGATCAAGAGGCAAGTGCTCCCAGTCAATCACCTTTGGAGACAAGCCGCACAGAAGGAAATTCCACAGAGGAGTTTGTTCTGAGCTGTGAGTGCTCAGACTACTCCACATATCACTCCAAATTTATGTGAAGAACTTCCCACTGGGGTTCTTTAGCATCAGGAAAAAGGCGGGGGGGGGAGCAAGACCCCCCCTTCACCCATGCTGGCCCTCATCAGCAAAATCAGCTTCTGTGGCTTTTTAGCAACAATCTTAGAGCTGACATGAGATTCCAATCAAAGCAGTGAACCTGGAGACAACTTGTAAATAAACATATCATGTAGCGTAGCTCTCATAGCAATTGAAGGATTGATTCACAACATATGATTGCACAACACACCATAGATGATAGATAGATTATAGATAGATGATAGATGACAGACAGACAGACAGACAGATATTGAACTATTTTCAAAGACTGCAAAGATGAGACAGCGGGGAAGTTTTCTGCAAAAGAAGTCTTCTTTCCTTTGTGAAAGGCAAAAACAGACCGCAACAAGGAAGGATGTCAAATGCAGAGTTTCCAGAGGAAAAGTGATTTTATTTCTTTTCAGTCAGTCACTGTAAGATTTTGTACAGAAAAATGGATGCAGAGAGGATATTAAGTATGTTAGTAGTGAAATATTAATTGTATTACTGGCATGTTTATATTTTGCACTTTATATTGTTTTTTCTTCCTCTGTTTTTTTAAAAGTTATATGTTTAAAAAAGTTATAAAAATAAAGTTATTAAAAAAATACTGGTGGCTGGTGCCCTCCT